GACTGATTACTCCTTGGTAATGGTTAGTTGTTAAGACACAGTCTAGTTTAGAGGCTAAGTTTATGCACTACTGAGCAGATCCCAGAAAGCTGCTTCAAATACAAAACAATCACTACAGATATCTGACTAGTAGCCCACATGAGCGAATAGAAAGTGTTTCAGAAGTGAAGCTCTGATGAATCGTTCACAATCAGAGCAGGAATTGTGATTTCATGTTGATTTGCAGATAAACGTGCATCTTAAAGAGCCTCACGACTGGATGATGATGATGATGATGATGATGAAGATGAAGGAGCAGAAGCTCTGTTAGATACCTTTTTGTGTGTGGACTCCAGCGGCACAGAACATTTCACACTGTCAGTCTCCTGATTCAAACATGCAGGTCAATCACACACATCACAGTCCACGATTAGACGTTAATTACAAACATCTTCAATTAGCACAAGTACAACACCAGTTAACAGTATTAATGACATTAACGACTCAACAGACTGGGGTGACTGTTAAAAACACAATAAGGAGGAGTGAAATCAAGCAGCTGATGGGTAACAGACTGTATTTTGAGGTGTATTCTGAGAAAGAGAGCGAGCAGCTGCACAAATACCTCATTCTGATCTCGTTTCTTGGTGAAGATGTTTCGTATGAACGTCTCCTGAACTTCTTCCTGTTTGACCAGATACTGCCACAGCCGTCTGACGGGCAGAGCAGAGCGCTGGCGGGACCTGAGAATCAAACACGCTCAGAACCTCATCACAAAACACTAATAATGCACCCAAATTATAATTCTGAGCCGAAACTGAAAGTTCAGGAGGCACATTGCCAAAAGTGAAAATAAAGGTTATTTAATAATCAATGGATCAAATATACTTAATACTCAATGTTTAAATAAAAACGGAGTTGTACAAACCTTTAAAACTGTACATAAGGCAGTTTTCATGTCAATATTTTAACTAGATAAAAATAGATAGATAGAAAATAGATAGAAGATAGATTTTGTCAAGACAAACTTTAGGTTGGCTTGGGAAAGCCTAGCCTGAAAGTTTAAAGCAGTTGTAAATGCCTGAAGTTTGAAAATGTAGATAGATTAGATAGATGTTGATAACATGTTTCTAACATGATTAGCATGTTTTTAGCATTATTAGCCTGATACTAGCATATTGCTGACATGATTAGCAAGTTACTGGCATGTTGCTAGTATGTTTCTAGCATGATTAACATGTTACTAGCATTTGCTAGCAAGATTAGCATGTCACTAGCATGATTAGCAAGTGACTAGCATGTCGCTAGCATGTTTCTAGCATGATTAACATGCTACTAACATGTTGCTATCATGATTAGCAAGTTACTAGCATATCGTTAGCATGTTTCTAGCATGATTAGCATGTTACTAGCATGTTGCTAGCATGATTAGCAAGTAGCTAGCATACTGATAGCATGATTAGCAATTTACTAGCATGTCGCTAGCATGTTTCTAGCATGATTAGCATGCTACGAACATGTTTCTAGCAAGATTAGCATGATACTAACATGTTGCTAGCATTATTAGCAAGTGACTAGCATGTTTATAGCATGATTAGCAAGTTACTAGCATGTCACTAGTATGTTTCTAGCATGATTAACAAGTGACTAGCATGTTTCTAGCATAATTAGCATGTTACTATCATGTTGCTAGCATGATTAGCATGCTACTATCATGTTGCTAGCATTATTAGCATGCTACTATCATGTTGCTAGCATGATTAACAAGTGACTAGCATGTTTGTAGCATGATCAGCCAGTTACTAGCATTTTTCTAGCATGATTAACATGCTACTAGCATAATAATAATAATAAGCTTAAGTAGCAGATCAGTAGTTTCTCAAGTCAACCTAATTATGAATTATGCTCCTAGTCCGAAACAGCAAATTTTGGCTTTGAAAACATTGTTACGTAACGTGGCATTTACATATCTCATTACTCTAGACAGCAGAATTTTGATAAATATATGCACTATCACATATTCATTACATTTACTGAACCTGCTAGTGATATCTTCATTGTTTAATGTCTGAATAAATAATTTATTAAAAAAGTTGACATAAAAACTGCCTTATGTGCAATTTAAAGTTTTGTTAAACTTACTTTTATTTGAGTGTTGATTGAATAAATTTGATTAATTAATAGATTATTAAATAACACTTGTTTTTGTTTTCCAAAAATTTTAATTTCGGTGCTTTGGTAAAATTAATTAAAGCTCCAGTCCGCAAGTTTTGCCTCTTAGTCGCCATCTCTGTTTGAAACCTGCAATTGCAGTTATTTGCGGAATTATCTTCTTTGCGTGAGTTGTGCATCGGCGCGGCTCCAGCACAGATGAATCTAATGTTTTGAGGAGTATGTGTGGATACTCTACTTAGGAATCAAAGATTGTAGCCTACGTCTCGGAAGTATGACCCAAATAAGAATTTTCACTAGATATTTCCATGTGAACAAGTAACAAGTCTGCCACTTTTGTTCTGACCAACTGAGGAAAAAGCATAACAATAAATTGCGCTACCAATGGTGATTAAATCTAATGATCGGTTAGCTCATATCACATCAAACCGTGCAAATTATTATTACTGTTATACTTTGTTCTCAAATTGTTAATGTTCACAACATCAGCATTGCGTGACTATGTGTATATAGTGTGTATTAGCGAGTAGATTTCAATTTCTGTACAGTCTAATCTCTAATTGTCATACCATTCGAATTTCATATTAAGAAATTCTTTTAACCCAAAAAACTAATTATTCTTCCTTCGAACTGCTTCTCTTTAAAATACAAATCTTAAATCTACAAGTACCCCTCAAATTAGAAAACACTATAAGCTAACCGTTGTGAATCGGGCTAAAGTAAGGCAATAGTTTTGAACACTGGCTGGTTATGTGCTTGCTCAAAAATTGATTTTGGATAATTTTAACCAAAACAAGTTACGGACTGAAGCTTTAAATTAATTAAAAACTCGTACATAAATATATGAATACAATTATACAAAAAACCTTTCTTTGGTTTCGGTTTTTGACTAAGTGCATCCTGAATTTTCGGTTTCAGCCCAGAATTTTCATTTCGGTGCATCACCAGTCGAAATATAAACATTTAAGTGGTGGCTGTAATAAAAGCTTGCTTTCATGACAGATTTATTGGTGCCATAACTAGTAGTAAAGAGGAAGAGACGATTGGTTCACTACAGCGATCCCTCACCACACATTAAAGAGCCACGAAAACACATTTAGTTTTTGAAGTTCATACATCAACAGAAAACAGCACAGCCTGAGAGACTAATCTTGAGATTTGAGAATCCATATCAGTATCGATTAGGGATGTAATGATTAACCGCGAGCCGGTTGAAAATCGATTAAAATATGTGACGATTCAAATCGATTGAGATGCTAAACAAATCACGATTCAATTAGGGGTAGAAGTTTATATGAATGCATGTCTGAGGGGAACTTACCATCTTTAGAAAAGTTTAGATGGTATTTTTTCTTTTCATCTTGCCTCTGTATAATGCATATTAAA